CCTAGGGTAATGGAGATGGGAGTCGGAGACCCTGTCGTGGGTAAGCGGGCTTCCTTCACCACGCGTGGGTGAATGAAGTCGCCCTGAGAACCAGAATCCCACAGCGCTGAGTACACCCTCGTGGAGGTCCCGAGTCGTACGGGGATGATCGGGAGGGTGCGATCAGGGTCAGAGAGGATGGCGAGAAGGCGACGCAGTGCAGCGACATGGAGGGTGAGTCGCTTCTGACGAGCCTGGAGCATGCTCAAGTCGAGAAGAGAGGACGCAACGTCATCGCGAGTAGCAAGCTGCTCGCTGCAACGGGCTGAGCGAATGGCTCGACGCGTCGGTAGTCGCGGCGGGGGAGGAGCGGAGACGGTGGTCTGCGGAGGTGCAGACGGTACTGCGACAGAGGGCTGAGTACACTCTGTCAAGTCCTGCGATACCTCAACTCCAGTAGCGAGAGGGGCGAACCGCGACGGAGATGTCGGGGAGCCCACTACTGAGGAGGGCGCAGGTGTACACTGCACCGTGGCTAGGATGCGCCGCGGGGACGTGAGGCGCCGGGGGGGGACTGAGCACGACGCTGACGAGAAAGGTCGGCGTAGTGGCGGTCGAGGGCGGTAGTGTAAGGACACCGCGAGGAGGTATGGCCGTCCAAGCGGCAGCACAAACACCCACGCCGGCCCAGAATAGCCGCGCGCTCCTCAGGGGAAAGGACACGACGAGATGGGACGAAGCCTTGAGGGAGGTCCTCTTGAGGGACCTCTGGGGGAGATGCGCCAGTGTGACCGGGGCGGCTGCGTGCCCGAGAGAGGGCAGAGAGTGCGAGCTGAAGGCGCTCAGCTGCAGGGAGGGTAGAGTCCTCCAAGTGATAGTGGACGACCTCGCAGAGATCGAGGTGGTCGTTGTGGTCGCCCTCAGATGACAGTGGGGCAACAACGTCCTGCTCACCATACTCCAGCGCGCTGAAGTGGCGCGAGAAGTGGCGGCCCTGCTGCGTGGAACGGCGGGGGCGACCGCGGAAAGAAGAACGGCGCTGGGAAGTGTCGTGAGAGGAGGAGGAGGCGTAGCTCGTGCGCTGGGGCTGGGAGGAGGAGGCGGGGTGAAGACGGGCTCGCATCCGCTGGTGGTCCCTGGCGGCCTCGTAAGCCTGTGGGGCCGATGTGAACTCGTACCGCCATAGCTCGGAGCGGTACTCGAGCGGAAGGCTGGCCAAGAAACGATCGATAAGGGCAGCCTCGGGGAGGAACGCCACGTCGCAAACGAGGCGGGCGTCCTGAAATACCTGGATGTGGCGATCCAGGCCGGYAGYGCCACCAGAGYCGGACCAGCGTGTAGYGACGACACGCTCGAAGGCGTCAGTCACGTCGTATCGGGCTCCGAAGCGATCCTCGAGGAACGCCTGGAAATCCACGAAGGTCGGAGTCCGACCCTCACGAAGGGAGTAGGCATAGAAATCCTYCCARGCCTCGAAAGGACCGCCACGCAGGCGCGTGGAGAGGTGACCCACCCACGTCTCGGGTGTGGCGCCCATGAGCTGGAGTGTGCGGGTGGCAGACTACAGCCACCGAGACACGCGTATGCCTGTACCGTCATACAAGGCAATGTCCGACAAGCGGATGAGTGGTGCGCCACCGTTTTGGCGGCGAGGGGATCGAGGAGCGGAGGCCTGTGCCACGGCTGAGTAAGTCGGCGCAGGTCCTGGAGAAAGGGGCGCAGCTGACTGTGCGCCCGGGCCGCATGGGGGAGCGGCGGTGGCAACAGCGGCAGGCTGCGAGGGTGCTGCGGTAGAAGAGGTCGAAGCAACCGCGGGAGTAAGAAAAAGGTAGAAAGGAGTTGTGTAGGTTGCAGGGCACGGAAAGCGAGCCTGCATGGGAGGAAGGGTAGAGGAGGTAGGGGGTGCGCCCGAAGGCGTGGCCACCTGTGAGGGTGGGGGTGGCTGAAGGCGTAAGAGGGCGAGGTTGGCCCAGAGCTGGGCAATCTCGTCCTCGAGACCTCGAACGTAGGTCGTGCGAGGGGTATCAGGGGGATGAGTGGAGGAAGTGGATGCACAAGCAGCCAGGGGCATCCCAGAGGGGAAAGAGCCAGGTGACGCTGAGATCGTGCGAAGGGGGGGGAGAAGCGGGGCACCCGGAAACGCTGAGACCATTGTAACGGGTTGTGGTCCCGTGGCCGTCGTAAACGGAATCTGGGCCGGTGCGCCCGTAGACTGAGGAAGGGCCTGACTCGTGGCGGCCGTCGAGCTAGAGGCGTGGACGGTCACCAAAATGGCCGGGTCGGGGGCGGCAGAGGAGGAAACTCCGCTATGGCCACCCAGTCGGAAAACTGGGGACCCGAACTGAGAGCCAGGAGAAGAGAGAGGATGAGGGGAGGAAGGACGACCAGCGTACTGGAGGTGCTGCACGCCGGCGGCAAGGGTCGCCACCTGCGCCTGTAAGGGCCCGAGGGTCGCGAGTTGCGCCTGGATGGGCGCAATGAGGGAGGTGAGGAGGGTGTGTAGATCCCTCTGGGGCTGATGGCCCTGGTCTGCCGGCACGGGTGTGGAGCCCGATGCCGTGGTCATCGCCGTGTCGACGGCGTGTGACGCACCGTCGGCCATGGGGAGATGACGAACCGGACTGGAGGGGGCCAGAAGAGGTCCGCGTGAGCGGAGGGCGTAGGGGGAAGTCCGCGGTAGAAAGCGGCGAACGGCGCTAGCAAGRCTAGCACGGGCGCCGTCAAAGGGGGAGGGGTGGTTCGGGTCCAGGGTGCCCGAAGAGGACGGGGAAGTAGGGGGGGGGGTTGAGGAACCSTAGACCCTACAAAACCCCTAAGAAAACCCTAACCGAGGTTTAAGGCTAGGGTAGAGTACCGATGACATAATCAAGAAAGTAAAATAGCAAGCATAGGAGGGGGGGGGGGAGACGGCAGAAAAATAAATGAGCAGCGAGATTTCGAGAGGAAATAAAATAAATAAGAAAATAAATAAATAATAAATAATAAAAATAATTAAAAAAAATAAGTAAAAAGATGTGAAGAAAAACAATATTTATTTTTTTGAAATTTTCGGCAGCATTTTCGTACCCCTCACGGGGTCAAGAATGCGCCAAGGGAAAAGGAGAGACCGAGGTGTGCACACTA